GGATCCTGTACCCCGAACGGTACAAGTCGGCGCCTGGCAGACAGGGCACCGTACTTAGGAAGACCCCTACCCCATGGGAACCCAAATCTCCAAGCACTACAGGCTTGCACCTCTGCCCTACACTCGAGATTTCATCCTACACGCAAGGCAAGGTACCAGGTCCTGAACAGCCCACTTTTCGGTAGACCTGCGAAATCACACATACTCGACAGCTTTTGCCGAGACAAGCTTGACCCGAACGCTCGCCTCATCGTGCAAAGGCAAAGCCCTAAACCTGAATATCGAGGTCCGACAATTGGTAATGACATCCCGTGTTAGTCGCCGCCAATCCTCGTATGCTGAGACTTTAATAGATATTAACCGTAGCCTAAAAAATTCTGAGGCCTTATTAGCACCCCGACATAAAATCGTATAAAGGTCAATTCTACTTCTTGAAGCCCCATTCTAAAACAAAACACTCCCAAAAAGCCCTAAACCGCCGCTGCCAAGGCCCGGGCGAATCTCCGCCAACCTGGTTTTCCCAAGGTTCGTTTCGGTCTACTAAAGGGTCTAAGACTGGGGTCTAGGACTTGCTTGGGCTACCAGCATATGCTCAGCTGGGCTATGCAGTCAGTATGGGCTCAGCGCTCGGGCGATTCAATAAAGTCCAGGTTTGAATTTCGTGCCGGGCGTATTTAGGGTCAGCGCTTTAGGGTTACGGGTCTAGCTCAGCATGCAGTTCAAACACCTGCAAAGTTCAGAACCTTGGCATTCACCAACATCGCAACTTCCCGTATTTGTGCGATATCTACACAGAGGGCTCTCATTGCTCATGGTTTGTTGGCCATATCACTCGGGAACCATGTTAGACTCCACCGCAAGCGCCCCAAATTCCAAACGACCAATGACCAAGCCCGAATCCCTGAACACGAAGCCCTAGAGTAGCCCCCAACCCTCACCGTGAGGTTGTACAATACCCATACCAGTTTAGGGTTTCGGGCCTTGTAGCGTAAGGTAGTTTAAACCTAGATCCTAAACCACACATAAGTCCTGCAACCATCTCCAACCTTAACCTATAATCGGCCCTTAACACCAGATTGGGTCGTACAATCTGGTCTAGGGTTTAACCTGAATCTCCAGAAACTTCAAAACAGGCTGCAACATAGAAGCCCTGCTGATTAGAACAAGCTTTTTAGGCCAAGTTATGTGAGGACTTTGAAGGGGTAACATGACGAGCTACTCCAAAGCTCGTATAAAACCTGCTAGTCAAGTCCTACCAAGCCGCTATGGGATTACATACGGGGACACCAAAACTACAGTCGTGCTAAAATGCTATAATTCTCCCTGAAGCCTAAATCCTAACACCCTGAACCCCTGTAATGTTTAGCCCTTTTCACCCTAAAACCTACCAACCGAAACTATCCCAAACTCAAATCACTTGCTACCACCCAAGGTCGATACCTTCGCATGAACTCCGACGTCAGAGCCTCGATCTCCAGCAGCGAAGCATGGGTTGAGGGCTTCGAGTTTCGGGTTTTCGACATGATGGGTGGGACACAGGGCCTGGATTTTTGGGGCTCATGGTTGTGGCAGGTGCTGGGCTTCGGGTGCAGGAGAAAAGAAGTAGGCTGACACAGTCAGGCCGCCAGGACACGACCGCAAAATGATGCATCTAGTACTAGTTGCATGAACAAGTTTCGTACAAATAAGCCCAGATGTTAGCATCTCAATTCTGCAAGGGCCGACGGAAGGCTGCTTCAAAGCACTTCAGGCACCATAAGGCCCCGAATATGCCCACTGCATCCCAAGCAAGTCGGACGCAAATCCCCCATTCACTAGACTCTACGGTACCTGTTGTGATTGTTCTCTTGATGCTCGTGTTGTAGCCAAGTTTGTCAGTGCATTTTATACCAGTTCGTCGTATGTTCTGCCATTCGGACTGCAATACCACACGTTGCTGACATAGTTTGTTGGCATTGCTGCGATGCTCCGAATGAGACGTGGCGCTGATCTTCTCCCGGCATCGAATCATAACGATTGCAAAAACAGTGCGGCTAGCACCCTGCATGAAAAAGTGTCCCGCTCCCTCATTGCAACATTGCACTTACTTACTAGTACCAACTACCAACAGCATGAGCAGTGGCTGTGCTGGTACTGCGGCGACGACGACGACGACACGGCTTCGGCGACAACTACTGTCCCGACCATGGCTGGAAAAGTTCCTGTTCCTGCTACTCCTCCAGCTACTGCTCTGGCTACTGCTCCGATTCCTACTCCTCCTGTTCTGCCTCCTTTTCTCACTCCTGGCACTATTCCTGTTGCTCCTCCTTCACCTACACCCACGCCTCCTCCTTCTGCTGCTGCTCCTACTCCTACTGCTAGTCCTACTGCTACTCTCACACCTAGACCTAGTCCTACTCCTTCTGCTTCTCTTCCTACTCCGACTGCTAGTCCTACGCCTCCTTCTTCTTCTGCTGACCGCAACTTCTGGCGATGACGACGACTGCCACTGCAACTTGCAGGCTGGCACGAGGATGAGGTCAACCCTAGGGGCCTCAACCCCAAACACCCCGCGAAACTCCAACGCAAGATCCACCAACTTCGAGACTACTACTAAATGCCGATCTGCTTTTGGCCTGGCCGCAGCATAGCAGTCGGCACAGCTGCGGAGCCAAAGACCACAGAAAGCTCAACCCTTCATTGAACTTGACCCTTGCCGACGGCATGCCGAGCGGCAGAGGTATCCAAGGTCGCGCCCTCTGGTTGCCAGCACAGGAACACGACATGGATATTTTCGTTGGACCTTGCTGCAGCTTTCCACAGCGGGGCAAGTCATACGCTTTTCTTCTTCGAGCGGCTGCAGGGGTCTCGGATGCTCTGAGCCTGGCTTCATAGCAGGGACATCCACTGTTTGGATTCCTAAAGGCTCCTCGTGCAGCAGAAGGAGCCCTATACCCCAAAGCACCATGAAACCTACACTTGCGAAGAGCTGTCGATGGGTCAACAAACCCAACGTGCAAATCTAAGATGAGGCTTTCTAGAGGGCAGAGAGGGCCCACACGAGTTTCGAGGCAACCGCAACAACCTATTTTATCTTACGTTTCGGGTTCTGGCTTTAGGGATGTATGCAGGATGTACCAGACCACAGGGATCTAAGCCTGTAGCCAATGCCGGGTTAGAGCTTTGAGATTCTAGAGCCTACTGAAAATTACAATGCCTGGTAGCACCGTTGCGCAAAACAGCCCGTCAATCCTGCACCCCAATTGAGTTCCATGCTTCAAGCTCCAACCCCTCAATCCAGTTTTCAAGCTAAGAAAAGGGTTTTGCGCTTAAGGATTAGGGGCCCCATCTCTTCTGCTCCTCCCCTGGGGCCACTGCTGGCGCGTGAGCGGCAAAGAGTCGCCAAAGCCCACAATCTGGGAGCTTCTCTGGGGTTGGGTGCTTCACTTTTTAGGGTTTAGCGTGTGGGGTTTAGGGCCTCAGGTCCAAGGTGCATTTAGGTTTGAGGCTTTCGGCGGACGTCATCATCTTACAACCTTTGAGCATCCAACCCACACATTGAACTGTATCCCACAAAATTGAAAACATGACTGGAGAAGCCTTCAGTTCTGAGCTTGGTCTGATGATGACGTTGATCTGATGATGACGTTGAAGATTGCTTCTATTAGCCTGTAGTTATGCTACTAGTTACTAGTACAAATGTTAAGGGCTGGTAATACTGCCGCGATCTTACGAGCTTTGAAAGCTCTTTGCTGCCTGCAGTAGCCGTAAATTGCTTAACCTGTCTTCCGGTACCTCGAGCCCTGGGAACTGGGGCTTCCTAAAACGCACCAAGCACCTCGCAACTGAGGGACTATCCGCAGAACCTCGCATCCATAAGGCTCTACGGCTGAAGATGTATGGGGCATAGGGCGTTCCCAAACCCTCAACCCAAAAACACTAGGTCTCACAAACCACAAACCCTCGACCCCCTTTGAACCGCAGACCCTAAACCCCAAAACCCGAAACCCCTCAACCCTGAATCCAGAACCCGAAAGCCCAAGCTCTCCTAAACCTCGAAAGAACCCTAAAGAGCCCAAAAGCACCCGAGGAGCTGGGGTCAGTTCGATTCTGGCGAGCTCGGCCCTTGGCAGAGCCGGAGTCGGAGATCAAACCCAGTTTTCTTTTTCACTGTTCAGGTACAAATAATCAAATACATAAGAAAAATAGCTTTATGTACATATGTATATATATATATATACATATTATATATATATATATATATATACATATGTATGTGTGTGTGTGTGTACCCGGGGCCTTGATGACTGCGGTATGGTTTAGCGGTTGGGTTGACAGGTTCAGGGATATTTGGAGCCTGAATGATTGCAATATGATTCTAGACGCAGTTTATCAAGAGCTCTTGATAGGTTTCTATAGAGACTTGGGTTTTTGCAGTGTTATATATATATACATATATATATATATATATATATATATATATCAGGGCTTTTGTTAAGAAAATGACGTCTTGCGGTGTAGTCTTGCAAAACGCACAAGGCCAACTGACGACGACAACGGGGTGTTGTGGGAAAACGGTTCAGACTTCTGTATACATCCGCCTGAACACATAGACTGTGGTTTGTGAGGAGCCATATCACTGGAAAATGAGCTCTCTTCCCGGGAAAACGAAACAAGAACTATCTTTGTGAAATCGAAGGGCCTGAACCCGACGAAACTCATACAGGTCCCGGAATCCTTAATGCTTCCTGTTTCCCAACCCGGCAGCCTGTATAACCCTATGACCCCTACGCCCCTACAGCCCTGAATGCACAGCCTTGAAAGGCCTGATGACCCACATCGCTGAAGCCCAACAGTCGCTGTTGAAGAAGGGACCTTTGGGGATGAGGGGTTGTGTGAAAGCCCTGTCAGACATTCAGAACATTGCGAGTTGAAACCCCAGTACATGGGTCCTGCTACACTGAGAACATGGCTTTCGCCAAGCTAGTGTCAAAACGCTTGGCTGAGCCCACAAATAGCCTTTACCCAAGGCACCCAAGACCTTCTTCACGATCCACCCGAGGGCAGAAGAGCAGGAAACGTTCCTTGAGCAGCGGAAATCATGAAAGATCTTTGCTGAGTGGAAAAATCTAGAAGCTTGGCACTTCGGTTGTAAGACCCTGGAGAAACAGCCTTCGGGGGACGGGGTGATAATGGCTTACGTGGAAGATTAGCGCGCTTGGCAGAGAGGGGGGCATGAGGAGAGCCACATTAGAGATTCTGGGGTACTTTGTGTAGGGGCCCGTACGCGAAGGATCTACGCAATGGCCTTACACCTTAAGTCCTGAACTCTACTTACAAAGCCCCCCCAATCCACAGGCAATCTGGATCTCAGGGGCTGCGGTTGAAGCGGCAGCATCAGCAGTAGAAGCAGCAGTAGTAGTAGTAGTAGTAGTAGTCGTCGTAGTACTAGTAGTAGTGGTAGTGGTAGTAGTAGTAGTAGTAGTAGTAGTAGTAGTAGTAGTAGTAGTAGTCGCAGTAGTGGTAGTAGTAGTATTAGTAGTAGCAGTATTAGTAGTAGTAGTAGTAGTAGTAGTAGTAGTAGTAGTAGTAGTAGTACTAGTACTAGTACTAGTACTAGTACTAGTAGTAGTAGTAGTAGTAGTAGTAGTAGTAGTACTAGTACTAGTACTAGTAGTACTAGTACTAGTACTAGTACTAGTACTAGTAGTACTAGTACTAGTACTACTAGTACTAGTACTACTACTACTACTACTACTACTACTAGTACTAGTACTAGTACTAGTAGTAGTAGTAGTAGTAGTAGTAGTAGTAGTAGTAGTAGTAGCAGTAGTAGTAGTAGTAATTGCTGTTGTAGTAACAGCAGCGTATAGTAAACGTATAGAAAACATTACTTTAGAGGTGGACCACGAGCCATAACAAAGGCAAGAAAAGTAGGAATCTTGCACTGGCCGTTGTTCTAGAAGAGGCCCTTAGATTAGAACCACACGGGCAATGACATCAAGACAGAAATTATTGTGGCCCAAACTTCAGCCCCTAAAGCATAAACCTCGGTCCTGAAGGCCGAACCCCTAGACTCAACAAACCTCACACTCGCGCCATAAACCTAAGCTTCGAAGTCCTTAGCCCTAAGCCAAAAAAAAACAGAACCCTGACGCGTCCACCCTTAGCCTTAAGATTGGAGTCGGATCTTTAGGACTTGGCGTCTGGGCAGAGTCAAGGGCTTTGAAGGTTGAGGCTTCGGATTTCGGTAGGGTTGCGGGTTTGGGTTGAGGCGATTAGGGTTGCGCGGTTTCGGGTTTGGTGCTTGGGGCTCCGGGTTTACCGTTTGATGTTGAGGCTTAGGCTTGGGTGAAGGGTTCAAGGTTGCAGCTTTCCGGTCCCAATTAATTAGACTAGGGTTTTGTGAGGTATTCTAGTACAAGTGTGATAAGGAAACCTAAGGAAGAACATTACTTATGTTTCAAGCAAGCTTCTAATATATGACTCGCAGCTGCTTTGAAGGTCGTGAGGTTATGGGGCAAGGGCCAGTCAAGATGCAGCCTCTCCAAAACCTCAGGCTCCTAAAGCCTCGAATAGTACATCCTACACGAAGTCCGTCAACTCAGAGCCCCTACTCAGGGAGCCTGCTCTGATCATGCCCCTATAGGAGGGCAGACGAGTCGCACCGAGGGTGCTCGTCGTGGAAAGCCCATCCTTGCCCTCAGCAACTTCGTGCTGTTGGCGCCTGCACGAATCAAGGGGTGGGTCGGCCTCGCCTCTTGGAAGGGCTCTGTTTACAGGGCTTTAAAGGGCTTCCAATATAAGACGATCTCGAAAAAAAGTTCCACAGAGCTTTCAATGCCTGTGGTTTAGGCTCGGGCGCAGGAATTAGAGTTGGGCTCCGAGTTCGTTGAATTGGAGCTTGGGGTGTGGGCTTAGGGATGAGGGCTTGGGGGGAACTGAAGGGAGGGGGGCGTGGAGACGGCTCACACATTGATATCTGGCTGCATCGCCGCGGGCCGCGGAATATGCGTGCTGGATTATTCATGGCAGTACGTCGTCGACTTCAACATAGCAGACTTCGCCATGCCGCTCAGCAAGGTCTTATGACAGCGAAGGTATTTGTGCAGACTCTTCTGATCTGCGATGGCGACATTCGGCATTGGCCTGGTGTGCAACAAGATCCCATGCAATAGTTTCAAAAGCCTGAAAATTAAGCCCCAAACCTAGCCCCAAAGTTTCTAAAGCTTACCACCAAACGAAACCCAAACCAAGGTTTTGGGATTCTGGGCTCCTCATTTCATAGCCACATGCAGCCCCATCTAAGCCCCGGAACCCGAAACACCTTAGCCCCAAGCCACAAGGCCGATATCTTAACCTACAAACTGTAAACCCGAAGTCCTGAACCCCGAAGGCCGCCGTCAAAAGAAGGCTACAGCTCCACACCATAAATACCCGAATCCCTGAGTAAACCTTACAACCCAAACCCTAAACCCTAAAACCCTAAAACCCCAAGCACTAGACCGAAACCCGAAACCCCCACAGACCCTCCACCCGAAACTGGGCAGGCGGCCCAAGATACGATTCGGCCATCTCGGTCGTAGTCTGAGCAGACGCAAGGCTGGAGGGTTTGCTGAAAATGCGGGTTTTAGGATCTTGGGATTGACTCGGTTTGAGGATTTCGATGATTTAGGATTTTGGGGATGCTACTGTTTGAGGCGTTGGGGATTGAGTTTAAGGTTTGCTTCAGGGTTTCAGGGTTTCGGTCTTGCTTTGACCATGCATTTCTGGAGCTCGCCGCAACCCCAGGAGGGGCCATCACTGGAGCACAAGGAAAACACCCATGAACAGCAGCACGAAGAGGCAGAATGGCAACAAGAATTATGATTCTGAAGGATGCTAGCCCCCTTGCATAGTGGAGGATACATGTACTGCGAGGCGTGCAGCTTGAGTTTCCTCAATTTCTCCGCTCCGAGCTGTCTGTCAGGTCATACAAGGCTTACTCGAGTTGTGCAACCTGTCTTCAACTCAAGGTTGACACGGCGCAAGTGTGTATGCTTTATGTGCTAGGTTGGCCGGAAGCAGAAAAGAAAAACTGAAATTGAAAGAAGACACAAGAATGTCAGGTGGGCTGGGCGGATGCAGCCGCGCATCCAGCCAAACCACAGCAGAAACAATTACAGAACCTTTTCAATGATACCAAGAGCAGCAATAATCATCACAAGAATGCAACTAACCACGATGGTCATTTCAACAAAAACCACGCGCAAGACTGACAATGCTAAGGATACCTCTACACCACCATCCCTGCAGCTGCTGCCGGGGGGCCACAAAACCAGCGAAGTCCCGGGCACCCTGCTACAAAGCGTCTTGGAGTCTTTAGGATTGTCACATTGAGGTCCTCATAGGATATATTGGCCGTGAGAGCTTCACGGTTGAGAAGGTCCATCAGGGGTTTACATGGTCGACTGGGTGTCCTCGGTCCATTAGGCATGCGTCAGAAGGAGCCTCGAGATCTATGACCCCTAAACCCGTTGGATTTCAGAGTTTGGGGGGTTCAAGAAAGACTTCCCACGCTTGTCTGAGGGGGCCTGCCCAACATCCGAAGATACCGTGGCTGGAGGTGCTTCTAGCTTTGGCTCCCGGCAGGTCCACCCAGCACACGCTGAGTTTTGATGTTGCTGGTTTCTTCATCTTCACCAGTCGACTTGAGGATGCAAAGTATTGCCAGAAGGAATCTAACCAGAGAAGTTCCACTTCCCTTCGCCATGTGAAATTATGTAAATGCCTGCTTTGAACCCCAGACAACAGCCTAGTCTAACCCCTGACGCCAACTGCCCGAGACCGCAACCTCAAAGGCCTGCTTTAAAACCTCACCGCACACACTGCAGTTCCAAAGCGTACGGTTTAAAGAGCACAACAGCGCACTCGAAACCCGACAGCCCCAAACTGTAGAACCTGCCAAACCTGCTTTAATCCCCAAGCCCTATAGACTCTAAAGCCGAAAACACCACATTAAATCCTGAAGTCCGGCTTTGGAACATCATGCCAAACTCTCCAACCGAAAATCCTACATCCGAACACCCTCAGACCCAAACCCCAAACAATAAACCCTCAAATCCTGCACGTGCCTCTCCCAGGAGCAAAAACTGCACGCGACATGTGACCTCAACTCGAAAAATGTAGCTATAATAAAAACAATAACAGCAACAACAATCACAATAATGACAATAAGAGCAATAATAACCATAACAGGAGTAACATGGGGTTTGAGTGATTGGGAAAAGCTCAAAGGCGTGAGGCTCTGAGGTTACAAGGGTGTGTGGCCGAAAGGTTGGGGGGGGGTTGCAGGGTTGGTTTGGGGTTTAAGGGTTGGGAGGGTTTTTGATCGGAGCGGGGTGGTATAGACAGATAGACAGACAGAGAGATAGCTAGACATGATTGATAGATAGGTAGAGTTTCGGTTAGCTGAGTATGGCTTGGGGCTTGGCGGTTTGGGGGGCTCGGTTCACAGGGCGAAGTAGTCCGCGAGGCTTAAAGATTTAGAGAAAGGCCAAGCACTTTCTACCAAAATACCACAGACCTTGCAAAAGCCCTAAAATCCCTAAACCTTCAACCGTGGGTCATCAACAAACTCCAGAATAGTCTAGCTACTACCCTGAAGCCTAAAAACCAAAAATCTAAACCATTAAGAACATTAAGAAAGGCTTCATGCAAAAGCCGACGACTCGCCGAACTCCTGAATCCCAGCCCCCCAAACGCGGCCGAGTCCAAAGTTGGATGAAATTAGGCGGGATCCACCATCTGTCATACAAGGGTTCGTGTCTTGGGAGCTTGAGATATAGGCTTGGATGCTTTCAGGTGTAGAGGGGGAGGGTGAAGGTCTCGAAGGCACCGAAGAAGAAGTTGACGGTAGCTTCAAGCACGAGAGAAACCCCAAAGGGTCGGATCCTTAGAGAGGCCCCACCCCAAATACCGTAGAGGGCTTATGCGGCCCTCAGCCCTCCGGGCCTGATGCGACCGAGGAGCAGGAGCGTTTGTTTCAGGAATCTCGGTGAGCTTCCGCTGGAGCCTCAGTCCGCAGGGCTTGGGCTTCAGGGTACAATTTACGGTAGGCCTTCATGATTAGCACAGGGTTTCCGGGCATAGCTCGCTATAATTCCCGCGACTATAAGAAGGGAAGATTTCACTTCTTCAGACCCCTCTATATTCCCGAGACCCGAAGCCTGAACCCCAAGACGCGAAGATGTCTAGCCCTGGAAGCCTCTATCCTGAAGGGTTTAAGGTTTTGGATGTCGTTGGGTTTGGCTGAAATGTCTCACTCTAAAGAAAGACTTGGCTTCAAGCCTCGCAGTGCGTCCGAGGAAGAACTAATTTATGCAAGGGACTGGCAGCAGCCTCTGTGTAACGATGACGACTCCGGCGAAGAGTCGAGCGATAAGAACCGTGTTGGGCCGGCCATGCAAAAGCAAAAGCTTTCACTCAATTTCTTGGCATTGGCTTCATGTACAGCGGCACCGGCATTCCATCCTGGAAACTCTAATGCGAGAGGTGCCCCCTCCTTAATCTTGCGTGGAAGCACGGGGTCGCCAAAAAGAAGGCCGTGTGATTGCGTATTTCGTTGGAGGCTGTCCTGCGATAGTTCCATTTGCTGCAGGCGTGTTGTTTTAGCAACGCGAATTCTGCTCAAACTGCTTTTAGGTTCAAGGGTGGGCAAGACCTGTCGATGTTCTTATCCTGCAGCAACGCAGCATTGCACCAGGCCCAAACCCTCAAGCAGAGATCCTTTATCCTTCAAAGTGAAACTCTAAGCCGTGAACCCAGAGTGCCCTGTTAGCTTAGACCCGACGTTCACAAACAAGCCTGGCATATCGCAGCCAAGGCGCCCTTTGCTCGAGGCCGAGCGGCTTGGTAAAGTCTCCGCTTCCGAGCTGGCCAGGGTGTGGGGTTGCGAGTTTCGGATTCTTTGAGGCTTAAAGTGTCTTCCTTTCAAGGTTCAGGGTTGAGGGATCAAGTGCCAGGATTCCAAGGCGTTGAATTTTGGGGGCATTTAGGCTTCAGAGTGCCCCGTTGAAGCGGGAGGTTTGAAGTTGATGTCCGGCGTGGGTATTTTGGATGGAAGTCTGGTTTGGACCAAGCAGTAGGAAGAGAGTCTCTCATAGGGTTTTCTACTGGTTCTGCGTGCTTGCTAGAATGTGATGGGGGTTGTTCTGCAACTTGCTGTTGACATTTGTTGCACATCGCTGTGACAAAGACGACTTGAAGATACCTCTTGCTGAGAACAGCTGCCATACCAGATTCCCGCGGCAACCAATTACGCCACACACGAATATATGCGAAAGGCAACGAAGACGACGGAAGCGACAAGGAAACAAGAATACGTGTACATACTACGGCTTACGGAGACCCCGACATCCCAAAGCATTGGAGTCTGTCAATGGATTCCACCAGGGCTTCCAAATGCGAACGCGCATCAAAACATCTTTGGTTTGAACCTGGAGGACTGAACTCCATCTCTCGATCCTGGAGCCATCCCTTATTCGGCCGGGATGGGGGCGGGGTATCCGTGTTTCAGTCCCATGGTTGCCAGTTCTAGACCCCGGGCTTCATCAGAAAAGATCTTTAGAGTTGGGCCGGCTCCGGGCTCCCGAAACCAGGTTCAGGAAAAAATGCATCAGGGTTTAGGGTGTAGGGCTTATCATTTACTACCAGAGACCATTCTCATCAAAATTGTAGGATCCTTGCATCAAAAATGTCATTGAAAACCACTCTTGAACCCACAGCTCTGCAGGAGCCTCTTTCCGGCCTGGGCAGGTTGAAGTTTCTGCGAAAGGCTAAACTTCACTAACCAAGCTGGTTTTCCATTCACCGTACGTGCTGGTGAATGCTACACGGCTTCATACATGCAACATGCTCCTTGATTGACCTTACACACTAGGTCACTAGGTTCCAGCTTTCCTTGCTATCAATACGACTGCCATCACTCTGCGACCAGCAGCAGCAGCAGCAGCAGAAGAGCAAGCATGCAGGCAGGCATGCATGCAAGCAGACAAGCGAGCGCAGCAGCTGAGAGTGCTAGGAGTAGTTGTGGTCGCAGTCGTCGCGACAAGCAGCAGCGACCCTGCAGCTACAGGTTGTTAGTTCATTGAAATCTCAAGAGCATGAACGCCAGCACCTAAACTAACCTGAAGGTTTAAAACAGAAACAGCTGGGCACTTCTCGAAGACCCCGATGCAGACATACATGTCTTGGGAAAGGTCCTAGAATCAACATGAAAAGTGCAAACCACTGAAGCAGCACGATTCATCCCATTCTCCGCTGCAGCCAAAGGTGCCATTGCTGCAGCTGGGCAGATGCAAGCGAATGGCAATTGCGGCACAAAACCGAATCTCCACCGTAGCACGCGTCTAGGGATGGCGGAGGCTATGATCATGATCTCGGCTTAGATGGTCTCTGTGCGGGGGAGGCTTGCCAGAACACATCTCCGATGCTATACAGATATGCCTGTCGTGCAACAACGGAGCATCGGACCTTCAACCAAAATCCTGAAGCCTAGGCCCTAGAGCCCCTGACCCCTAAACTCTTAAACCCCAGTCAAAAGAGATGCCAGAAAGTTCGGACTACGGCGCCTGCGCCAGCCTTGGTCCAAAGATGCAGCAGGGAAGCACTTTCGGAGACCCAAACTCAGAAACCCGAACAGATGCAAATCCCACAGCACAAAATCTGGCTGGGAGCCTCTACACATCTGAAGACCTACACCCCAAACCCGGCAAGCCATGATAAGAGGTCTTTGGGATTCCCAGCGTAGGTGTGATAAAGGGGGTAAGAGATGTATAAGGCTTTAGGAGAAGTCATCAGGGTCTGTATGTATGAGGCAGGCTTGGAATAACGTTAAGCTACTTATGCAGCCCCATACATGAGAGCTTATGATTCTGATCCCGGGTCCGGGATTTGCAGTTTCAGGTTTGGGGTTTAGGGTTCAGGGGTTAAGGCGTTCAGGGTTGAGGAAATCCGACATCCTAGGCTCGGCTATCGTGCCGCGCACTAACTCTGATGCTTGAACCATAGGAACGCGAGCGAACCACCTACAAGATCCTCTGCACCATACAGCCCACCAGCACGACCTACAACCCCTCCATCCGTTGACTCTTAACTCTAACCTTTAAACCCCAGACTACAAGCCCTAAACCCAAAACACCCTGGACCCCAACAGCCCCTATATAATTCCCAGCACCTCTTCCTGATCCCGGATCTCCTCCGGCGAGCCATCAAAGAAGAATTCGAGATAAATCGTCGCCTGGTACGAGGCGTAGGACTAGCAGTCCTGTCTTGGCCTTTTGACCTTAACTGCACCGGCTAATCCGTTACAACCATCACCAGGCAGCATCGTGAATGCTGAGCATTCAGGGTCGAAGCGCTCAGAGTCTCAGCTTCAGGCGCAGTATACATGATGCATTATAGATAGACACAGAATTTTATATATACATACACAAACATATACATGTACACAGTATTTTGGAGTAGGGCGGAGTGAAGCCAGGGGTTCGTGGTCGGGGAGGCTGCATGCGGCGTTCCATGTTCTGGCTGGGAGGGGCTCTAGACACATGTACTAAAGCCGTAAGGGACCTTCACAAACACGACATTCGCTGTTTGGCGGTCCTATACCCATTATCCTACCACTTCGGGTTGCCCTGTTTTCCGACCCTTCTGTAGGGCGGAACCCAAAACCCTCATCCAAGCTGCACCTGGCCGGACTTTCCCGGAGCATGGTGCAACTGCCACAGCCTCGCACGGCAAGAATTGAAAACAGAATCGCTTGTGGATGCTGGGGTTTTGAGTCCTAAACCCTAAACCCAAACCCCTAACCCTCGACCCCAACCCCTACACCCAAAGTCTGCTTGTCCTTGAAGATTGCACCTTTGGGCGTGCGGGGTGGGGGAGTCGGAGTTCAGGATTGAGGGAACATGCTTGCAGGTTAGGATTGAGAGATTGCGAGTTTGGAGTTTGGCGGTTTTGGTGCAGGGAACAGGGTTCCCCTGCCCGTTGAAAATTGTGGTACTTCTTCGCAGTCCTGCTCTTGTGACCGCCACCTGCACGATCAAAAGGAGGACGACGACATGAGGACAACCGCGACCGCAGGCTTCTTGCCGATACTGTCGCTACACTCTAGGCATGCTCACTGCGCTTCTTGTCTTCAGGGTCGCCGCTGTACTACTTCTTGCTCGGAAGAGTGTACCTTGGCGGGAACCCCTTTCAGCCCTCAGCCCTTCAACCCTAACCCTCAACCATGAAGCCCCTGAACCCCGAAACATCCTGTAGGACTCCGGCCTAACATCCGCCAAGTCGAAGGTCTTCTCCAGGCACTGGATGCGGAACTGGGCCTTCGCCTCCATCGAAAGGCCGTCAAGGCTTTCACGAAATTGCTGCAAGGTTATGGAAGTATTTCTCGGGCTCCATCAGGCTTTGATCTTGGGATAGAAATCAAAATTAGGATTTTTCTTTGTCTCCTTACAAAGCGCAGATTCTACTGCGAAGCCCCTGCCCTGAGTTAGGGACCCCGAAGGCGTACTTTTACGAAGTATCGAAGTACCGAAGCCCGGTATACCAACCCTAAGCCCGACACCCTAAACTTCTAAACCAGAGCCCTAAACCCCAAACCCGTCTATGTAAGTACCCTAAACTGGCCTTAAACCCTAGGGCCTGGAGGCTCGTAAAGGCACGGGTGGGGTCTGCGTGGACAGCCAGCACATTGCGGAAGCGCGAGTCTTGTCTTTAAACCATCACCAAGTCCTGGGGTTTAGAGTTTAGGTTTTGAGATTTAGGGTTCAGGGTTGAGGAGGGCTTAAGATTTTCCTTAAGCCGTATCTTGCCAGCCCAAGTCGCCGTGAACCCCAAAAGCCACGATCCTCCCCAACGGACCCGAAACTGTGCAGGCGTGGGCACTTCGAGCGCCCGACTCTGGATCTAAAGTCGTGTTACGTGTAGAAGATTCATGGTTCTTTAGGTATCAGGCTTGGGGATACCACCTCGTCGGAGATGGGACAGCCGCAGGATGCACGCCACTGCGCGAGGACGCGATCCTGCACACGAGAGCTTCACATAGCGTCGGGGCAGTTGATGCCTATCTTTGAAGTCAGACCCCTGAAACCAAGCAACCCGCACCTACCTCTTCCCAAGCTCAGCAGTCCACCCTGAAAGCTCTAGGTTACCTGAAACGTGGTCCTCCGTGCTCAGCTTCGACAGCGCCTTGGCATCCAATGCCTCACACCGACGAAAGCTGTAAACGTGGCAGGCAAGGGGTTGGGGTGCAACTTGGGGTTTAGGCGGCTTGCGATGTAAGGCTAGGGTCTGGGTCTGGTTTTCAGGTGATTAGAACTTTGGGTGTAGGGCTCTCGAAACATAGCGTTCAACTCTTAAGATGGTTCGAAGTCTGATCGAGAGTGTGCGGCTGTAGGTCTTTAAGGCTTTACGGTGCAAGCCACCCTCAGCCCCAAGCCACCAAAATTCCTTCAGCCACCTGATGCGCTCCTAACCCCCCGAAGTCGCTTCTGGTTCACCCTCAACTCTAAACCCGTAGCACAGACTGTCAGGACAACCGTGGTCAAACCCTACATCCCCAGAGCCCGCTGAACCCTAACCTGGATCCTCGCTTACCAAGCTGCTCCATAGAATTGAATATGCCGCAGCCTGCAAGACTAACCGATCAACTTTTGCAAAGACCTGATCCTGATCTTCAGAAATCAGAAAGGGCCTTCCTGGCCATATGCGGGTTCCGCGTCGAAGTGCCTGGGTCTAGGTCTCATAGTCTCATGGGGATATTCTGGGGTGTTCGCGCCTTGGAATTTCTGTTGTTTGCAGGACATATCGTGGCTTTGTAGTCGGCGGCTACTACTACCGTTTCTTGCGCAGGGTACTCAAAATCAAGGCGCACAAAATGCTGGCGGAAGTTTACAGCCATAGCATAGAAGACCCTCTGCACAATGTAGTCTTTTGTTCGGCACTTCAAAACCGCATTCTGTCTCAAGGTAGACGCAGGGGAAAGCCCATACCATACTGGCTGAATACAATGGTTAAATGGCATTATCCAAGTGAAGTACTTCGGACCGCAGTTCAAGTAGACTTAGGCCGAACACTGAGACAGTCCCTAAAGAGGACGCCAAAGCGCACAGCACAGCGTGCATGGCCCTAGCAAAAAATCGTGGCTTTGTGTGGCGGTTTCTGCTTGGTCTTTAGTAGAGGATGAACGCCAGGATCGTTATTTAGACCTCAAATAAGTTAGTGATGGCCATTTCCATTTAGGTTATAGTATCGTTAAGCCCCGCATTGTCACCCAAATTTTCACAATTCGTGTACCCCCCTATGAATATCACAAGAATCATAAGAACATCCCCCTATCTCTACCCATCCCCTTGAAAATCCATATTCCCCATCATACTCCCGAATACCCTTTGGTAAACCTAAACGGAAATGGCCATCTTCTAATGATTTGTAAGTAAGATCCATAGTGAAGTTATAACCTGTGATAGCCTGAGGACTATAGCTTCATTATATTGACGAAATGCATTATTCTATATGATGAAGAATATGATGCCTTTTAGGTGTCTGCCGTCGTTGCTTTCGGTTGGGCAACGTCAACAGGAATTTCAATGATTATTCGGTCTTTATGTTTGCTAAATAGCAGAAAGTAATCTTCGAGAAACTCATCGTTCATTAGCAACTGGTGAACGTGATTAAATACTGTATCTATATCTGGCTTATGTTGTTCAGGAGCGAGTTCTGGTTCTACTGTTTCCTCTTCATCAACAGATTTGAAAGGAAACTGTTTGTTTAATCGTTTGCGTATTTCCAGTTTTTGTTTGTTGTATTCCGCTATTAAGGCTCTTGTATTCCCTCGCTTAGTCTACCTTCTTTTTTTCAGTCTCCCAGCCTTCTAAACTACCCTTTCATCAATATATTTAATTCTGGGTTCGGGTGTAATGCATGATGAAAATGGGCATCCCAGTTCTCGTGTCTTATTCTGTGCCCGCATTATTCACATAATCGGCTTCCCTTTGCTCTCCTATTCATTCTTGTTCTTCTCATAGCATCTTCTTTTCGCTTTACGGCATATATTACACGTCTTAAACCCGTCGAACTCTTCAACAATCTTTGATGCACAGCACGATTTACATAATCTCCTTTCCATCTTGACATACATACAAAAAAGTCTAGTCTTTAGACATGGTTAGAGCAAATGCAAACCTTCTAAATTTTTTTTCGTATTAGAACATTTATCTGGGACTGTATGGGGGTTTTCTTCTCCTTCTTCCGAAAGCACGAAACAAACTAATTATACCA